TAGTGCCGATCTTAGCCTTTGGGAGGTGAATTAACATTAAAAAAATATAATTATAATAAATTAAACCTGCTTTATCTGCCAAGCTTGAGCCACTCTTCCATTGTTTTAAGGTTGCATTTCTTTCTTTCTTCAACAAATACAATCATGGTCAGTTCTCAAACAAGCTACCATCTCTATTACAATAAATCAAAACTTATTCTTGTTTCTTGTTCAACAAGTTGCATCCTTTTAATGTATCTGTCCCTTCATGCTATAAAAATTTTTAATGGTCCAGTTTTTTTCCTTGCACATGAAAAAAACCTTATAACTATTATTGTTTTTATTATATATATACAACTTTTCAAGTCTTTAGTTAACCATTTCCTAGTATTTTTACTTATTCTCTATTTTAACTCATAACTTAATAGTAATTGCTTGCAATCTTGTTGGAAGTAAATTAGAGTTTAAAAATATATAAATATGCCAGTATTTAATAAATAGTAAATGTAAGCATAAAATTATAATATATAAAGTATTATAAATTTTTTTCTAACCCCGGCTATCAACCCTTGCTAAATCTTATAGTTAAGCCGGGGCCGGGATCTTATTTTTAACTGGTCACTTATTATCTCAGGAAACTTACAATCTCATTTTTGGCCCCGATCACTTACTATATCAGGAAAGGCATGTGCTTGCACGCCTTATATGACCATCCATATAACATTTTGAAAAAATGCACTAAATAAACAAATGTAAACTTAAACTAAAATAAACAAACTATAAATGGAAAAAAATAAAATCTTAACAAATGATAAAATGAATAAAAAATAAACCAAAAAAAAATAAAAGTCTAAAATTAATTTTTATTTTAATTTAAAGGTGAGATTTCTTTAATTATTCACAACAAAGATTTTCAAAAAAATTTTCAGAGTTATTTTATCCAAGCTTAATTACTTTGAAACTTAATTATTAAAAAATTTGAAACTTTGATATTTACTAATGTCTACCAAGCAAATAAAAAAGTTACCAAAAAAATTATTTGTTAATAGGATTTGAACTCTTAACCAATGTTGACCTCATAATTGACACATTTAATCAACTCAAGCGCTACATCAATGTAGCAATATAGTTAAAATTATTAGCTTTAAACTATAAGTAGAAATAAATAGAAAGCTTTTAATTAAATTAATTAAGTTTGAACTATTAATAACCCTAACCCTAAACAAATATGTATATTTGTTTAGGGTTTTGTATATATATATATATATATATATATATATATATATATATATATATATATATATATATATATATATATATATATATATATATATATATATATATATATATATCTGAATAAATTAAATATACACATTTTTACAGTTTTATTTTTTTGAGTAATAATATCGCTACATTTTGAAAAATATACAATAATTTTCAAAACGCCATACTCTAGCTAGAAATAATTGATGACTGCCGTTTCTCATCGAAAATATATTAAATATGAGTCACAGAAGTATAATATTTCACTTGAAATACTCACAAGCAATTTATTTTCATAAAAATAACTACATGAAATTGAAAAATTTGCAACATCCGTGCGTGACTTCCGTGCGTGATCATTCATAAACTGCATTTAAATGATTGCTGTGACTCTATGATTCATAGTGCAATCCTGTAATTTTCTAGAAATCTTTACTAATGTTTAAAATATTATTTTTAAAAAAAAGTATACCGGTGAAACTTGTATTGTCCGAGGAATTAATGTTTTTTTATCTAGTAACTAAAATAGAAGTTTTTCTGTTCTGTGCGTGATTCCATTTCAAACTTTATTTATTCTTTGTTAACAATACTAATGTTTACTATTTTTTGTTTACAAAATATTTATAGTGATTAGAATTAAATGAGAGTAAATTGGAGATCGCTAGTTTTATTTTTATGAAAATAAAAGTTAAAACATATACGAGTTTCCGTGCGCGATTTTTTGGAAATGCCCTGTTGATAATTATAATATTTAAAAAATTTTTATTTGTGTTAAATTTCTAGGTTACTAATGGTTTCCCTTTTTTTTGTTGTTATTTGTTTGTTTTTTCATACTTTTATATTATCATTAGGTCTAAGTCAGTAAACGATTGTTTTACAACTTACTGTAGAAAGATAATGAAAATGATTGTCCGGCAGCACAGGGCATCTCTTTTTTGTTGATAGGCCGGCAAGATGACCTGACAGTTTGTTACTTACGTAAAAGTGTTTATTAATAAAACCTTCGAACTATGAAGATCTTATTCCTTGTGATTAATTAGAAAAAACCTTTGAAAAAGCATTAAAATACGTTTAAAAAATAAATACACTACAGTGCATTATAAAATTTTACTAAACCTAATGATAAGAAGCAGACTTGAATTATATTAGACATGCAATTTAAAATGTTTCAAAATGCAACTATACTGTCTTTTGAAAAGTTGTAGCATTTTAAAGCATATTTTCTTTTCAATTCAAAAAATAAGACTTTGATTTTGCAGTTACATTTTGATTCTTGTTTTTTCAAAATGAGTCTCAAAATTATATTTCCTTTCAATTCAAAATGCTAATGGATCATTTTTTTAAACATACTATATATGCATTTTGAATCACCTGACACATTAATCAATAATAACATTGAACATTTTGTTTTTCATTAGTAAAATTAACTTTTACATAAACTTTTGTTTTTCATTAGTAAAATTAACTTTTACATAAACCATGTCAAACAAAATTAATATAATAAAAAACAAATGATGCATGTGGAAAGTCTTTGTAGATTAAATTACTTTAAAAATTGTTTTGAACAATTTTGAATTTTAACATGGCTGAAAATGATTTTAACATGATTGAATCAACTTAACTTTTTTTAAAATTAATTTTAGTAATTAATTAATTACTAAAAGTTTTTATTAGTCATGTTTTAGTCATTAAGTTTAATTTAGTTTATTTTTTTTTTTTTTTTACCCAAGAAAAAAAAACACCCAAAAATTAAAAATTCCCAGATTACTGATTATCATAGTGTACTCTGACTGGGAAAAAACTAGTAGTTACATCCCTGACATGATTTTTGAGATCAAATTTGCTTCAATAAAACATCTATACTAGAATAATTTGATGTTTAAAATTTTAAAATCAAATGACAGCAATACAACAATATCTTAAATTTGTGAAGTTTGGTGTAAATATATATGTCAAAGTAAACTTAGATCATCATCATGTAAACTTAGATGTCAAAAAAAATCTTAGGTATCCAACATTTTAAATAGTCTAAGTTTTTCTCTAGATTTAAAAAGTTATGTATTTTAATAAAAAAAAATATTGATTTTATAAGTTTTAGGTCAACATTCTGTCTAAAAAATTAATAGTTATCAACACGTTTTTAAAAAACCTAAATAATTATTTTTAGTAAAAGTCTGTTGCTATTATTTAGCAAATTTTTTTTTAGGAAAGCTTGTGGTTAAAACTTAAAAAAGTTGTCAGATGGACCCCATTTATACAGAACTATACGAAGCCTTACCCTTGGATACAGCTTGCTGGTCATTCAGGTTTTTTTTCCTTTTTTTTTTTTTTTTTGTTTTTTGTTTTTAGTAATTAGTTAATGATTAAATTACACAAATTTTAAAGTTGTGTTCATTTTTATATAGGAGGTTTTATAGCAGGAAAAGAGGGCACCGTTATTAAAAAATCTTCAGAGAAAGAAGCATTATGTTTACAGAGCTTAATGTCTGATGTGTTGCGACCATATGTTCCTGCTTTGAAAGGTTCGTTTGTTGAAAATGAGGTAACACATATCGAAATGCAAGATTTGTTGCATGGTTTTAGTTCTTCATGCTTTGTTATGGATTGCAAAATGGGAATAAGGTAAACAATCTGTTCTTGATTTTATTGAATATATTTTGTATTTGTTGTCAAGTAAAGTTTTTTTTAAATTTAGAACATATTTAGAAGAAGAAGTTTGTAAACAGGGAAAGGCAAGAAAGGTGTTAGTTTTGGTTAATTATAGTTTTAAAAATATTTGCTATTAATTTCATAACAATTTTTATGGTTACTAAACCATACTTTAATTTTATCGTCATAATTTAGATCATTTTTGAATAATCTGGACTAGACTTACACATAATTAGTATAAATTTTATAAGATTTTTACATATGTACACATTTGATATGGTAGGCATTTTGTCTAATCTGTGAACAAATTTTTTTAAATGGTGTAAAAAAATTGCATTAACTTTTTGTCATTTCCCACTCACTTATAAGAGTGTGTTTATTAATAAAACTATATTTTAATTGAAGGAGGAAAGCATCTAGAAGAATAGAGTGTAATAAAAAAGTTAAAATATTCAAATAATATTTAAAACTTATTAAGGAACTTAAACAACTTTATAAAAAAATACTATGTAAAAAGTTTAGCATTATGAAAAACTTTACTAATGGTCTGTAAAAATGCGCGTCATTTTTAAAATCAACTTATAAAAACATTTTATTAGTCGATTTTAAAATTAATGCGCTTTTTTACGGACTATTAGTAAGGTTTTCCATAATGCCATACTTTTTATAAAGTACGTTTTTATAAAGTTGTATTAGTATTTGTAAAAGTTCCTAACGTTTTTAATAATATTTGAATATTCACTTTATATTTTCTAGATGTTTATTTACTTTTTTGCATATCTACTTAAATTTGGAAAATAAGTTATTAAAATTTGGAATTACTTGTTAAATGTTGTTTGAACAAAGAATGAACTATAAAAGTTATAAGTGCTTTATAAAAGTAATAACACTATTATAGTTTTATTACTTTTATAATGCAGTTAGTGACTAGAGTGTTGTTACTTTTGCAGTCGTAAGTTGTTTTTTTTTTTTTTTTTTTAATAATTTTTTCCCTAACAAACTTATAATGATTTGCTCCTTAAAAACAAAGTACACGGCTTTGCATGAATTTAAAAAAAAAAAACTTTTACACCGGACTACTGATTATCATAGCAGACAACTCAAATTAG